TGCGTGCTAAAGGAATAACAGGAAAAGTCGGTCGATGGATCTATGATTTTCCTCACTAACAGAACACAGAGAGTAGTCGTCAACAGAGTAAAGTCCGAGGCAGCTACGGTGAAAAGCTCTGTTCCACAAGGCACAGTACTCGCTCCCATCTTGTTCCTCATCCTCATATCTGACATAGACAAGGATGTCAGCCACAGCACCGTGTCTTCCTTTGCAGATGACACCCGAATCTGCATGACAGTGTCTTCCATTGCAGACACTGCAAAGCTCCAGGCGGACATCAACCAAATCTTTCAGTGGGCTGCAGAAGACAATATGAAGTTCACGATGAGAAATTTCAATTACTCAGATATGGTAAACATGAGAAATTAAATCTTCATCAGAGTACAAAACAAATTCTGGCCACAAAATAGAGCGAAACACCAACGTCAAAGACCTGGGAGTGATCATGTCGGAGGATCTCACCTTCAAGACCATAACATTGTATCAATCGCATCTGCTAGAAAAATGACAGGATGGATAATGAGAACCTTCAAAACTAGGCGGGCCAAGCCCATGATGACACTCTTCAGGTCACTTGTTCTATCTAGGCTGGAATATTGCTGCACTCTAACAGCACCTTTCAAGGCAGGTGAAATTGCCGACCTAGAAAATGTACAGAGAACTTTCACGGCGCGATAACGGAGATAAAACACCTCAATTATTGGGAGCGCTTGAGGTTCTAAACCTGTTTTCCCTGGAATGCAGGAGGGAGAGATACATGATTATATACACCTGGAAAATCCTAGAGGGACTAGTACCGAACTTGCACACGAAAATCACTCACTACGAAAGAAAAAAGACTTGGTTGGGACGATGCCCCATCCCTCCAATGAAAAGCAGGGGTGTCACTAGCACGTTAAGAGACCATACAATAAGTGTCAGGGGCCTGAGACTGTCAACTGCCTCCCGCACACATAAGGGGGATTACCAACAGACCCCTGTCAGTCTTAAAGCTGGCACTGGACAAGCCCCTAAAGTCAGTTCCTGATCAGCGGGCCCCTGTGGCTCGTACGTTGGTTTGCGTGCACCAGCAGCAACAGCCTGGTTGATCAGGCTCTGATCCACCAGGAGGCCTGGTACGGGCCCGGGCCGCGGGGGCGTTGCCCCCCAGAACTCTCTCCTGGTAAACTCCAGGTAAACAAGAATGGTATAAATTCTAACAATTTTTTTTTTTAGCTCATCATCCATCTCCCACTAATAATATATTTACAGATACGACTGTGTTACTTCAGACTTAATACCCATTTTTATGCAACAGTTCAAGTGATCTCGGACATACAATGCCACCCCACCCCCCTTCCCGATACTTCTATCTACTTGGAACAATTTAAAACCCTGAATGTGACATTCCTCAGGCATGTCCCGACTTTTTGAATTAAACCACGAATGTTAAGTTATGATGCAATCAGGTTGGTGAGGGTTATATTTTGCGGGAGGGGGGGTGAAATTGTGACAAAAGTTTAAGCGCTCCCTTTACAGGCGACGGAAAAGAATAACAGAGCGGCTAAAAGAGGCCAATATATCTGAAATGCATAGGGAGTCACTAAAGTGAATGCTAGAGTGTTTGGGGTGTGGGCTTCAATGTAAAGTGGGAGGTGTCACAGCTGCTCTTTGTTAATAACACAGTGCTTGCTGGAGATTACCTAGAAAAGTTACAAGATTAGAGTAGAAGTTATTAAGAAAAATCTAGGCAACAAGAGGGTGGACATCAGATTAGGAGGGAGCATGGAGGAAATTAATGTACTGTATTTATATAAATGTGAGTGGATATGTTGGAAAATGAATGTATGAGAGATGAGGGTTTTTCAAACCATTCATCACTACTGTCAGACACTGCAGCATCATGGGATCTTCTTACAAAGAATTCTTCAACGCTTGTTCAACCTTTGGACAAAGACCTACTTCGACTAGTGGATGGTACCACTATGATCCCGCCTCCGCCTGCTTCAAGTCACCTCACTACAGTATATAAGCCACGTCTACGGCCCTATGCTGTACATTCTACAAGATTGATGGACTGAACACATCGACTCCGGGTTTAGGGACTGATTACCTCATTCTCCTCCTCTCCTTACGCCTTTCCCCTTGTATTGGACTGAAGAAGCCACTGTGTGGCGAAAGTTTCCTGAATAAAGATTTCCCATATGCTGCATAAGTGTCTCAGTCTTCACTTGTCGGTTTTTCAAACCATTCATCACAAATGTCAGTTTGTATTCATTAATATTGATAACGACACAAAACTTTTAGTGACAAAAATTTTCTCAATAAAGAGTCTCATTAATGACGTCTTTGAATTTTCCAAATATTTTGCCAATAAAACTAACATTATTAGTAGAGCATTGTAGCAGGCCTAGTGGCCCACGAGAGGAAGACCTAGTCACTTTTCTGTCTAATGCCCTTGACTCTACTTAGTCAGTTACAGCTCATATCCACTAAAACAAGGGCACAGAATCTGACCTACAATCGCAAGCTATTCAGGTCTAACTCACACTCTTGTATTTATCTAACAAATTTTCAAAACTACACAGAGTTTTAGCTTCCAATGATGATACCGCACTAAGATCATTTAAAGAGATCTGTAAAAAAAAAAGAAAAAATTATACTATAGCAAAACCACAGAAAGAGAAACATGAGATACTTGAGGTAGGAAACACTGCAGTAGGCCTGTTGGTCCATACTATAGAACATAGAAAGGAAGAACAGTGCAGAGGCTTGTTGGCCTATACTAGGGCAGGTCTTTACAATTTCAACCAATATGAAAACATTGCCCAACCCAATTTTCAATGTTACATAAGAAATAGTTGATGGCATATGTAAGTCATCACTGAGCTAAATACAGGTCACGTTTCTGAGCTAAGTACAGGTCACGTCTGAGCAGGTCACCTCCTAAGCAAAGTTACAAGTCACCTCTGAGTTAAAACACGGGGTCTCATTCAAAGTAAGTACAGGTCGAATCTGTGCAAGTACAGGTCGCATCTGTGCTAAATACAGGTCCTCCAATCTGAATAGAATCAAAATTCATCTGAATATGCACGACTTTCACAATCTATTTCACTAAACAAATATTTGCCAAATAATTATTTTTCAATGCTTCTCAAGAAAAAGTTGGGTATTCTATTAACTCGTTGTTTATAAACGATCAAATCCAATGCCTCTCCCTAATGTATTTATCAACCTAAATTTTAAACAACCAAGGTTTTTAGCGTCAACAACTCTACTATGTAGACCTTTTTTTTTCCATAAATTTCCATATTGCAAACCTAGCTACAGCATTTTATGTATGTTTGTAAGAATACAGAAATATGCCAAAGTAAAAGACAACATTTGCAACTAAGTACATTTCATAAAGTGGACATTTAGTTGCACTTTTGTCCTTGTGTTTTTCATAAGAAATAAGAAAGGAGGAGGAACACTGCAGCAGGCCTGTTGCCATACTAGGCAGGTCCTTTACAATTCATCCCACTAACAAACATTTGACCAACCAATTTCAATGCTACCAAGAAATAAGCTCTGATTGTTCAAGTCCACTCAAATCAAACCCCTCCCACAAATCATGTATTTATCCAACCCTAGCGGATAGGGAAATCTACAGAAACGCGTCGCCTGACCAGAGGACCTTCTACACGTCTTCAGCCCTCTACAGTGGATGTGAGAGGCCTTCCCACCATGTTCTCCTGTTTGGTTAGGTTATTTCTTGTGGGATTTTGTTTGTACACTTTTTTGCTCTCTCCTACAGCTTGCACCGTATTACCCAAGGTACAATGTTTTCGCCCCAGACATATACTAACAGTTTTAAGGTGTTTATTAGTGATGTAAGTTTCGTCAACAAGGAAGGAAGGGTTCACTGTACTAAACCTAACCCTCCTGGAGTTGGCTTGTGTTTAATGTCTTCCGGGGGGGTTTTTTTTTTTTCCCCCCCCACAAGGAAGGAAGGGATCACTGAACCTAACCGAACTACCCTTGCGACAGCTCTGACTGAGCAACCAGGAGCCCCTTGCCCTAGGGTCTTGAGGGGGTGGGAGAGGGGGGGGGGGGGGGAGGGGGGGGGAGGGGGGGGGGGGGGGGGTGGGGGGGGGACCTGTCTGGCACTTCTGTACAAAACTACCTCCTCCCAGAGGGCAGCCGTGGGCTTGGATTGACTGGTTGCCGGACAGGTATTATACCTATTTGTTACAGTGTCCCTTTAGTTGCCCATCCTGGTAAGAAAAAAAAACCCTTTCAGTGAGTCGTGCTTGACAACTTTTGTCCCGTGATGCCACAAGTTCCCAGGATAGCACATTGTTGGAAGGATTACCACAAACTCACTGTAAGAAGAATTACTACCAGGGGAAGGCTCCTAGTTTTGTGACCTGTCTCATTCGTATATCTAGAGCTTGTGGAGTGCAAAAAAAATTTCTCTAATGCACAATTCAATTTACAAACGAATACCTGACTACGTTGGGTTCTTGGGTTAGGTCCTTGGGAGACATGGACCTGTCTCACATGAACCAGTAGGCCTGCAGCAGTGCTCCTTCTTTTTATGTTCACAAGTATTTTCTATTCTGTCGCTTCAGATTAGAGTGTAGATCCTAGTATCCTATCTCCTAGTAACCTATCTCCACAGGATATTCATAAAATAAGTGAATCATCCATGTATTTCCAACTTTAAATTTATTCCTGACTATGGAACTGAACTTCTCCAATCTCAAATCAAGGGTGATGGACTGATTACATCGTCTTCATATCTCTACTGTTCCTGCCTACTTTCTGTATTCGACTGAAGAAGCCTACTGTGAAGGCGATACGTTTCGGAATAAAGTTGCCTAACTGTTGCCTGTGAGTCTTACCTACCAACCTCTCAGTATTGTATACCAGACACTGCAACACAATGGCATCTTAGTACAGAAAACACCTCTTGTATTTGAGTGGCTCTTGCAAATGAGTGGATAGAGTTATCAGACCTTATTTTTTAGGGAGCATTGAAAATTGGATTTGGCAAATGCTTTGTTAGTGGGATGGATTGTAAAGGACCTGCCGAGTATGACCCAACAGGCCTGCTGCAGTGATCCTCCTTTCTTATGTTCTTATGTTCTTATGGAAATAGGGTAGTAGATGAGTGGAACAGTCTACCTAGTTGGGTTATTGAGGCTAGGACTTTGGGTAGTTTCAAATTTAGGTTGGGTAAATACATGAGTGGGATGGGTTGGATTTGAGTGGGACTTGCACATCAGAGCTTATTTCTTGGGTAGCATTGAAAATTGGGTAGGTCAAATGTTTGTTAGTGGGATGAATTGTAAAGGACCTCGGGATCTTAGTGGGACCTGCCACTAATGTAAGTAGGTCATCGTCCAAAGGTTTGGGCAAGCGTTGAAGTCTTTGTACCAAGATTCCATGATGTTGCAGTGTCTGACAGATGTGATGAATGGTTTTGAAAACCGACAAGTTGAAGAATTGAGACACTTATGCAACACATGGGAATCTTTATTGAAGAAACGTTTCGCCACACAGTGGCTTCATCAGTCCAATACAAAGTAGAAATGGGTAAGGAGAGTAGAAGTATGTAAAGGACCTGCCTAGTATGGGCCAACAGGCCTGCTGCAGTGTTCCTCCTTTCTTATGTTCTTATGTTCATTAAAGGAACGAATGCTAGTCTTTATTTTCTTCTGTTAAGTCAGGTGCCTTTTGAAGTAACTGTCAGGTGATGATAAGTATTAGCTAAAATTCATGGATTTTCAAACTTCTTTATCAGAATTGCTAGAAGTGCTCTAAATGCTCGAAATCGCCGAAATATGCGGCAAAACATCATTTTACCATATTTTTCGATTTTTTCAATGCTTCAGCTATTTCATATATATCAAGCATTTCATGTATTTCATATATATTTTAAAAATACCAAAAGCATTGAAAAAAATCGAAAAATATGGTTTTACTGCATATTTCGACGATTTGGAGGATTTTGAGCACTTTTCACACAAACCTTTCTTTTTAGCTAAAATACATGGATTTTCACACTTGAAATATATATTGACTCAATACTACACTAAAATGTCATATTTAAGTTACTTTCAGCATAAAATTCAATTCCATCAGCAATTCTGATAAAAAAGTTTGAAAATCCATGAATTTTAGCTAAAATATCAGGTTTGTCTGAAAAGTGTTCTAAATGCTAAAAATCGTCGAAATATGCAGTAAAACATCATTTTACCATATTTTTCGATTTTTTCAATGCTTTTGGTATTTTTAAAAAATATATGAAATATATGAAATGCTTGAAATATATGAAATAGCTGAAGCATTGAAAAAATCGAAAAATATGGTAAAATGATGTTTTACTGCATATTTCGACGATTTTTAGCATTTAGAACACTTTTCAGACAAACCTGATATTTTAGCTAAAATTCATGGATTTTCAAACTTTTTTATCAGAATTGCTGATGGAATTGAATTTTATGCTGAAAGTAACTTAAATATGATATTTTAGTGTAGTATTGAGTCAATATATATTTCAAGTGTGAAAATCCATGTATTTTAGCTAAAAAGAAAGGTTTGTGTGAAAAGTGCTCAAAATCCTCCAAATCGTCGAAATATGCAGTAAAACATCATTTTACCATGTTTTTCGATTTTTTCAATGCTTTTGGTATTTTTAAAAAATACATGAAATGTATGAAATGCTTGAAATATATGAAATAGCTGAAGCATTGAAAAAATCGAAAAATAGGGTAAAATGATGTTTTACTGCATATTTCGACGATTTTTAGCATTTACAACACTTTTCAGACAAACCTGATATTTTACCTAAAATTCATGGATTTTCAAACTTTTTTATCAGAATTGCTAGAAGTACCTTGGGTACACGGTGCAAGCTGTTAGGGAGAGAGCAAAAAAGTGTACAACAAAATCCAACAAGAAATAACTATACCAAGACAGGAGAACATGGTGGGAAGGCCTCTCTACATCCACTGTAGGAGGGCTGAAGACGTTGTAGAAGGTCCTCTGGTCAGCGACGCGTTTCTGTAGATTCCGCTACTTCATCAGGCTGAGACACTTATGCAGCATATGGGAATCTTGCATAAGTGTCTCAGTCTTCAACTTGTCGGTTTTTCAAACCATTCATCATACTGTCAGACACTGCAGCATCATGGGATCTTCTTACAAAGAATTCTTCAACGCTTGTTCAACCTTTGGACAAAGACCTACTTCGACTAGTGGATGGTACCACTATGATCCCGCCTCCGCCTGCTTCAAGTCACCTCACTACAGTATATAAGCACGTCTACGGCCCTATGCTGTACATTCTACAAGATTGATGGACTGAACACATCGACTCCAGGTTGAGGGACTGATTACCTCATTCTCCTCTCTCCTTACGCCTTCCTCTTTGTATTGGACTGAAGAAGCCACTGTGTGGCGAAACGTTTCCTGAATAAAGATTCCCATATGCTGCATAAGTGTCTCAGTCTTCAACTTGTCGGTTTTTCAAACCATTCATCACAAATGTCAGTTTGTATTCATTAATATTGATAACCGACACAAAGCTTTTAGTGACAAGATTTTCTCAATAAAGAGTCTCATTAATGACGTCTTTGAATTTTCCAAGTATTTTGCCAATAAATCTAACATTATTAGTAGAGCATTGTAGCAGGCCTAGTGGCCCACGAGAGGAAGACCCAGTCACTTTCTGTCTAATGCCATTGACTCTACTTAGTCAGTTACAGCTCATATCCACTAAAACAAGGAGCACAGAATCTGACCTACAATCGCAAGCTATTCAGGTCTAATCACACTCTTGTATTTATCTAACAAATTTTCAAAATACACAGAGTTTTAGCTTCAATGATGATACAGCACTAAGATCATTTAAAAGAGATCTGTAAAAAAAAAGAAAAAATATACTATAGCAAAACCACAAAAGAGAAACATGAGAACTTGGTGGA